AAAAAAAAAAAGAGCCTATCTATAATCTAGGGAAACGCTACGGTCCCGTTACGGTACCATCCCGTCGGTTGTTTTAACCGTTAGATCTACGTGTAGTTAGATAAGATCGATGATCCAACGGTTAAAACATTCGACGGGATAGTACCGTAACGGGACCGTAGCATTCCCCCTATAATCTATATCTATAACTCCTTTTAAGTATGAGTAGTTTCTTGAAACTTTTGAAGTGCCAAGAATGCCCTTACTAAAGATAAGTTTTAAGGCTATGAATGTAATTATTCTTATTAATGTTAAGAAGTTACAATTAACAATATTTGTTAAATTTTTAAACTTTCATTTCTTAATTTACTTATATTCATTATCTTTTATTTTTTACAAAAAGATTATCTACGCAAATTGATAGATTTTAAACAAATAATATATTTTAAATTATATTAATCATAATTAGTTTACATACGATCTATGACGTCAGGTTTCGTTTGGTTATTTTAAAGGTAGTTTTTAAATGTAAGAGAAGATATTATTCTAAATAACATATTTTTATTTCATAAGTGTAAAATATATATGCATCAATGAAAATACCATCTATAATTACCAACTATCATATTATTACTACAGAAACATTTTGTAATAATATTAAAAAAACTAAAGAGGACAAATTTGGTGAATATGCATATGTTTATGGATGACTGAATGAAGAATAATTCTTCATCATACAAACTGTCAATTTTTTTGTGGAAAAAAGTTATTCGTTAAGTGAAAAATATATAATCTTAAAATATTTTGTTTAAATTGTTCACTAAAACAATATGCATAATATGATTTAAGTTTACCTGTTAATAATAGTATGTATAACATAATGTTCTTTTATGATAGTATGTGTTACATAAATTAATCTACTATCTATTTTAATTGTAATATAAATAAAAATAGAGTAATTATAAAAATTAAATAAAATAACTAAAACTCTATTTTAAATCTTGATTTTCAAAAAATGTGCACTTATTAAAAAATAGTTACAATAAAAATATGCTAAATAAAAGTAAATAGTACATTTACTTTAAATTTGTTGTCATTAGCCACTCTTATTTATAAAACTAGCATTAATTTTGTGCACATGCACATGTTACCAA